TTAAGGGCTCCTATGGTTCGTCTCCTCCGGTGAATCGAGAGGGGCCCTCGCCAAAATGGAACGAGACAAAACAGCCGGCAATTTTCCCAAGTTGGTGTAGTCGCAGTCGAGGAGCTGCATTGCCGCTGCGCTTTCGCGAAATGTATATGCATTTGCAAAAGTAGAGTTCGGCCGAGCCTTTTCCAGGAGCTCGAAATCACGTCCGTTAACGAGCGACGGGATGAATAACCAATGCGACTCGGGAAAAAAAAAGAGCGTCCGCAAGCTGCGGCAAAAGCTCCATGAGAGATCGCGAGGACCGTAATCGTTGAGCGGTCCGGCTTCGCCGTTAGCGCCGAGTATGGCGATCCAAACGTCCTAAAATGGAAGTCACGTGAAATTGGATCTTTTGCAGAAACGAGGGTCTGCCATACGTGACCGACAACGCACGTGAGCCGGGGAAAAGCGAAAGCCGAAACTCCACCGCGCGACGAGAGCTTAACCCGGGAACAAACTCACGTATTTCGGTGGGACCCGAAAAAAAAAGGTACCGGCCTCCGAGGAAGGAAAAGAGGAATCGGAGCGAAAGGGAAACTTCTCATTTCGGTCGCTCGGAGTTCAAGTCCAATCGATGGGAAAGGGGGTAAAAGAAAGGGTACGCATTCGCGCTAGAATTTCGGACCCCTGCGATGGTCACGACCGGCTCGACATTGTCATCGCAGAAATCGGAGATGCGCGACCTCGGCCGAATTACACGACCACTCGGCCACGATTACAGGGACGCTACGAGCTCGTTTCACAAAGAGAACGAGCGTAACGGGAAATGGGGTTTAACGTTGCACGGAATTAGGGTCTTAGCACCCCGTTACCATTTAAACTTACACCTCTGATTTCTCCGATTCCGCAACGCCCCCTTTCGACCATGTCATAACCGTTCCACCGCCTATCGGAAACATGGAAATAATCTCGATGGTGCTCTTTATCTCGAGGGTGGACTACCACGCGATAAACGTCGTAAAAAATATCGCTCATTCTTCGGAGGCCAAGGTTCATCGAGTAGAGGGGCCGATCGCCAAATTGCCGACTCGTGGCGTTCGATCGGCGAAATCAGATTTTCATCTCAAAGGCTTATTTCTCGGACCTCTTCGATATCTCGAAAGTCGAGTGGGATCGAAATTCTCGCGAAGCTGTTCGTGCTTCGATCTGCATATGACCTATTTGTATACGGCATGAGGACGGGGTATAAAATCTTGCGTGACCGACGACACTCGGTGGATGTCATAACGCGTTCGTAAAAGGAGAGGGACTTCCTCGGGTGCGGAACGGTATTACGTGCTCGCAGGTAATTCTTCGGGCGTTACGAGCGACGTCTACCTGAGGCATCGCGATCCGCGGCGATTCCGCGACGACTCGACCAAAGGAAGTCCGCGAAACCGAACGACCCTCGCGGATGGCCCGTAAAAAGCCGAGATATCGATGGCTCTCTCACGGGAAGCGAACGGCCGGAATAGGTCGCGTTCGTCTTACGGGTTAAGCCCGAGGAAGCGACCCTGCCTCTCTTCCGCGCGTCCACCGCGGTAATTGGCCCGAGGATATCCGCCGGTCTTTCCCGGCTTCCGTCTTCGCCGATCCCTCCTCGAGAAGCAAGGATTACTCGCAGTCGCGATCTCGAATTCGCGAGGATTCCACCTGCAAAAGCACCCTCAGGGCGAGACTCGAGAGATTCCGCGCGGAAGAAGCGTCACGGGAGGCTCGCGAATTCAAAAGAACGGAATGGCCTCAAAAGGTCACGGGAATGGAATGTCCTCGAAAATGCCGAGTCGGACGTCGACGATGGGATCTTCCGCGGGAAAATGCGTGTATAATAATCCGACGAGATCGTTGCGATGCCACCGGCCGCCCGTGTTATTGCCGGCAAACCGAGACGGAAATTTTTGCGAAGGGCGATAATATCGAGAGAGCGAAAAACGGTCCCGCCGATTATACGTATGCAAGATGCCGGGGAGAGAAATTGAAGAAAATCGTTAGACACTCAAACGACTCGGCCCGGAGGACGAGATGCATTTTCATAAGTCCCTCCGATTCGAGGGTCTCGTCGACGGAATCGCATTTTCCAGCGACCGCTCGAGTTCGTTATTCGAACCGGAGACGAGCCCTTCCCGAGGACCCATGAGTGTCGAGCAAATTGAGATAATTGGAAATCGATAGCGGTTTCGCGTGCCGAGCCATTTCACCGTGCGCGATACGTCTGCGATTACATTTAAGGCGTACACCACGCGAAGCGACCAACGACGCCGTCCAACATCCCACGCGACGGTGATCGATGGTATTTTGTATACGGAGGCTGAATTATTTATTTCCCACGTATCGGAAATTCGAATCCGCGGCGATATCTCACGAATGATCGGGCAACCCGAGCGTTAACGCGACGCCGGTCGCATTTTCCGAATCCTCGAAAACGCGTAAAAATTTCGCCATGAATTTCGCGCCGACCCCGTCGCGAGCAGCGTTATATTCGAAGCACGGTTAAAAACGCGTCGCCTCGAAAGTAAGGGGAAAAAACGGAAATCCGGCTCCTCCTGCGGAATGCGGAATTGCGTCGCGGGTCGCGAGGAGAGGATTACCGAGGGCGCTCGCCGAAATTCCGATAATTTACAATAATTTCATCGCGGGTGATTTATCCCATAACGCGACCGGTGCTCTAAGCGAGCGTCAGTAATTCCCAATAAACTCTCGAATGTGCTTAACGATTCGATCGAGGAAAATACGGTCGCTTCGAGGGCCGACGCCATTACATCGCGTAAACAACAAACGAGAGATGTCGGATAGGGAATAAATTCAAATTCCGTCCCTCCGCCACGGGTGAACGGACCCTCCGCGTTCCTTTCGCGCCCCGCGCGAGCCGTGCCAGGTTTTCGCAAATAAGACGGATTCGCCGAAGAAAGGGGAGCGTCCCTCGAAGGGACGGCTGAAAAGGACGATTCGAGACTCGAAGGAGCGGGACTAAGATCGAAAGGAGTCCCTGGATCCGGCCAAAACGCTCCCTTTAGCCTTTGGCTCGTGGGGGGCGTTGCACCCCGCTGTACTTCGTTGCACCTTGGTACACGTGCTCGCACACTTCGCGTCTGCTTCGGAATTACGTGCGTAATTAGCGGGAGAAAGGTGAGCCCCTCGACCTCCGAGCTCGCCGGATGAATAATGCACTCCTCTCGTGGCATTGCCGAGAGTACCGATCGCCAGCCGCGCCGAGGTCCTCGACGGCTCTCTACGAGTCCTCCCAACGAATCGCAACGATTTTAAATGGGTTTCCAGGCGCGCTCCCGCAACGCGGGGCTCGCTCGCCGGTCGACGGTGCGGCCCGGCCGCAACTCGAGAAAGCCGCGCTCCGCGTCGCCCCTACGCTGGGATTACACGGACGGCACGAGGGGAGACGATTCAACGAAAAACCGAGAATCCGCCCGTACGTATCCGCGACGTTGACCTCCGCGACCCGAGCGATCCTACGTATAAATACTCTATCGCGGTTCCCCATAAAGTACGACTTTTATTTTTTTCCACGAATTTTTATGCGTTAAACGAATGCGTTATCGGCGATTTCCTCCAGTCGCGTGGCGTCCCTTCCGGTTCAACGAGAAGAATAATTTGGACGAGGTAGCAATGATATAACGATTTTAATATAAAATTCGCCAGATCGGGAGCACGTCCACCGAGTGGCTTCTCAGACGAGTCGAAATTAAAAACCGTACGTGCGTGTAATAAAATTCCGTTGACGATAAATATAAATGCGAATGCGAATGGTAATAAACTGTGAAACGAGAGAAGAACCTACTTCTTCGTTTTTGTTTTAAAAAATCGACGATTCGTCGCGATCACCGCGTTCCATTTTGCTTTCACGTCCAACCACCAGTCGGAAGCGACTAGAACTTTTCCACCTTCTCCAGACTACTCACGCCGCTTGATACAGTCGTAGGAAGGCGTCGACCGAGTCGTCGCGCGTTTTCACTTCTCGAGTGAAGTCGAGAGGATCTCGCTCGCGGCGCCGCGCACAACTTGAACCGACTTCTTTCGAGCCCCGAGACCCCCAGGGTCGATTTTAATCTCCGGTGTAACTCACCGCTCCTGTTACCGGAGACCGGGTTTCGCGTGGCGTCTTTTTTTATTCCTTGCTCGCGTCGCGTTCGCGCCGCGCCTCCCTTCCGAGGAAGGCGGCGTCGCTCCCTCGGAAAAGAGTTCGAAATCTTCGCGAAAATTGACTGGGCGACCGTTACGCGACCGTTACACTCCCGTTACGATGCACAAGCGTTTCTTCCGTCCTCTCTTGGGGAACTCCGTAGTGCGCCGATTGGTCGCGACGGCGCTGGGGTGCACTTTTCACGGCACTCGATCGGAAACCTGGACTGGCAACCAGGGCGAAACGCGCGCGGCCCGCTGGCGGGCGCAACCTGTTGGGACACGCGCGACGCGTCGGGGGTCGGAGTCGCGGAGCGTGATCGCGCGCGCGCTCCAGGAGAAAATGTGCTCCCCGCGGCGCGCGACGCACCCCCAACCGGCTTCCACGAGGTAACTGGCGCCTGGCGCGCCGTTCCTCCGAGAGCGGCCACACTCGGTCGCCGGCGGCCGTCGGTAACCTAGGCAAGGCGGCCGGCGAGAACGCCCGAAAGATGGCAGGGTAGATTCCGAAGGCACTCGCCGCCCAGTCGGAAAGTTCACCGTCGGCATGGAAGGGAGAAACGTCGGAAGGTAAGAAACTTCCGTCGATAAAGGCGAACTCCTTCTTCGGAACTCCGTTAGTACGGACGTTCCGAACGAAAAGTCTGGACCGCGAGATACCCACCGCGACGCTCTTCGGTAAGACGGCTTCATCGTGGATTAAAAAGTACAGGTAATGCTCGATCGGCGGATCGAAATTCTTTTCCGTTCTTTTGTTGTAGTATGGCAGGATTTTTCGAGTTCGGGATGCGCCGGCACGGAGCGCGGGTACATTGTCGCGGGATGCATCTCGGGGCGACTGGCGCATGCAATTAGGCTGAGTACGGGTAATCGAGTAAGTACCTTAAGGCGGGCCACTCCCCGTCGGTCGTAGTGGTCGGAGCCGATGTGCTTCTGCAGGGCAGACTCAATCGGGGTCCGATCCGCAGGGTCATGGGACGCCTCCTGCGCAGAGTGTAATCTGAAAAAGGAGAGTGAGCGTGAGCCTCTAAACGAATTTCGCGGGGTCGGCCGGAACGTCCGAGGGGGCGCGAGGACCTCGAGAGTTCGTCGACGAGGACCCGACGCCGGGGGAATATTAAAGGGAGCCACCGAAACGTCCCCTCGAAAGTCCCGATAAACAAGAGCACCGACGAGCGGAATCTCTCCGACTGGCCGCCAGTTATCGATTCCATTATTTCACCGCCGCGTGGAATTCCTTCCCGCGCGTTCTCCTCGAATTCGAGTTGCATTACCGGGACGGAAGCAACCGCGCTAATCGAAGATAACGCGGCTATTAAATTCCCCGGTTCCGTGCTGGCGTCGCTCCCGAGAGGCGCCGGGACGCTCGTCGCGTTAGAAGGAACGAGATCTTCGAGCGCCGACTCGAGTCCTCGGAAAGGACTCGATCCCCTTCGGCGTCGCAAACTCGGGAGCTCGCACAAAAGAAAGTATTGAACTCAACGGTCGCAAAATGCACGCCCAGTGGAGGAGGGAACGCGAGCCCTTTGAAACGCGGCTCTCGGTGCCAATTAAATGCGACACTCCGGGAGTGTCATCGATCGCTCGACTTGTTGGGAAATCCGATACTACCGAATGAAAAAGAGTTACGTCGCCCCTACGAGCCCGCGTAAAATGATCTCGTGACGATGCGGAGGAGCCCCTTCGAGGGGTCGATCGATCGATCGAGGGTCCAGAATCCGCGAGAAATCGCGAGAATCCCCCTCGGAAGTCCAGCCGGTGCGTATCGCATTGCTCGTCGCCGAAAACGCGGCAGTTAGAGGTCCCCGTAATCATCGAACGCCGCCGCGAGCGAGCCGTATAATGGTCAAAGTTATTTCAAATAATCACCGAAGTAATAACCTTCCCCGCGCCCCGAGTTTCCCCTGAACTCCCAAGAGCCGCCTGTTGCCGACGAGCCGAAAATTCATCCCAGCGTTTTCCCCGCACAAAGGCCCGCGACAGCCAGGATTTCAGCCAGCAAGACTCCGCGCGCTGCGCCGTTTCCCTCTCGGGCGGGCTCGTCGACGATATGGGAAAGAGTTCGCGGGGTCGCCGGTTAAATGCCCGTGCCTAGTTTCAAACTGGTTGAGTGCCCGCGATTAATAGCGTTCGGCTATTTTAGAGAGTCCGAGGACGCATGGTACGCGTGCCGATAATTGCCTTCCGCGTTCGAAGGGGCCCGCCGCGAGGACCTGGCTCGCTGCCTTAGGGGTCCTCTCCTGGGAGACTTCCGGTCGACCGGTCGCGTCTCCACTCCGAGTCGACCCGCCTAGGGCGGTCTCCCAGGGGACGTCGGGTCGACGAAGAGGGAGAGACGTCTCGACTTACCGTTCGCGGAACATAGCGAGTTCCGTCCTTGGAAGACGTGGGGCGACAAGTACTGGTGCGGATTCGTCGGCGTGGGTGGCGTCGCCTGGCCGGATGCGGACGTGGCGATCCATGGGGGGGCGGCGTCCCTCCTGTCGCCCCCGTTTCCCGAGGGCGCGGGGATCTCGTTCGTCACCCGCACTTCTATGCCTACGGACTGAGACCGGACCTTTCGTTAGCAGGAATTTTGTCCACACGAGGATATTCGGAACGCGGACGGGGATAGAGCGATCGAGAAACGCGAAGCCAGAGGAACGAGGAAACCGAGTCGGAGCCTCGTCTCGTCCGGATCGTGTTTCGAATTTAACGAAACTTCGCGTCCCTAACTCCCTCGGAATCGGCGGATTGGCTGGCACACCTCTGGACGTCGCGACAAGGATCGATTACCCGAGTAAACGCACGGAACGTCTCCACGGACCGAAATGCGCCGGTGTGCATCGCGCGCGAGTGCACCCGTGCGCGTACACCTGTTGCAGCCGAGAGAAAGCGCGGAAGGCGGACGGCGGATTAGTTGGCAAGTTTCTCAGGGAGTCGTTGGTTTTTATTCCGGTTGCCGAGCCCGGATATACTTGGATCTTTTAGTTAGGGGTGTTCCAGAACAGAGGGAAACTACGCGACTTTGAGATAGAAACGGTGGATAACGGAGATCCGACCACGAGCGCTCGACGAAGCGTTAAGAAAAGTCGAATCTAAGTCGGGCGAACTATCTAATCGAATTTTCGACCTTAAACCAACGGCGTATAAACGAGCCCTCCCTCGCGCTACAAATTACGTTGACCCGATCGAACCTTGGCCTATTCCGGGCGGTTTCACGAGGGGAAAAATTTCGCAAACCACCCACAAGTTCCTAGACCTCTATTCTCGTCCTGGATCTCGCGATCGATTCGCTGATCACCGGATGTCGATTATTAACGATTGAGATATTACCTACATTACGAAGAAGACCTACCTAAAATTCATCCATGAACTTCTGAAATCGAGGGCATTCTATCGATACGTAGAAGAGAGAGCGGAAAAGCGAGGGCTTTTTCGAGAATTGCCTCGGCCCGGTGAAAGTCGCAATTATTGGCAGAAAATGTCGGAAAAAAAATGAAGCTTCTCGAATGAATAGAGACCGGGCGACTTTTTCGTCTCACGGTTGGTATCGATATCCCCGTTGCCATTTTATGCACGCGGGCACCGACGTCATTAAAATTCTATGTATGTCCCCTAATCGTATTCGGAAAATGTAAGATGTAATCAAATTTGTTGTACACCGCCCTGTACAGCCTGGAAAATTTCCTGAAACGCCGCGTCGTTAAAGTTAACGCGGTACCCCTTAGGGACGATCTCGGGGAAGACGAAGGGAGCCCGAGAGATCAATCGATTTTATTAAATTTCTGCCGCGAACTGTAAATTCTCCCATCGATTCTGCCTTTCGATAAATTATTGCTCCTCGTTAAATAATTCGAATCGCCCTACCGATGCCCAGCGTGCGACTTTCGAGGGTAAAAATGCGTTTTTAGTCTCGGAATAACGACTTCGAATTCATTGCCAAAATTGGCAAGCCACACTCTCGTAAGCGCTGCATTTATTATTCCGGCCATTCGCAAATCGCGCGTTCAAAGGTATATCGTCGGGAAATAAAAGCGGAAAAATCGGGGAATCGCGCTAGCGCGATCGGGGAGCGATATTTGCCGAAACGAATATACCTGGGAAAATATTTATTCGAGTCGCTCTATCTCGCGGTAGACCTCAAATTTAATTGCATATCGATCGACGATACCCTATCGCGGGACGTTCTTTAACGCGAAATCAAAGGTCCTGCCCGGGGACGAGTTTTCCGTGTCGTTACGTTGCTCCACCAAGTGAAACTCTAGAAAAATCGCGCGGATCGGGAGGGAAAACTTTCAAGCGGTGGGAGGTCTCGAGGAAATCAAGAAGTAGGCACGACTATTTAATAAAGTGCAAAAGGAAACGGAAACGGCATTCGCCGAGTGCCCCTGGATTTACTTACTACGATTGCAGGGAAGAAAATCGAGAAGGACGTCCTCCGTGGATAAAGGACCCATGTCCAAACTGAAGTTCGTTCCCTAACGAAAACTGCATCTCTTGAGAAATTTACAACCACCGGGAAAAAGCTATCCAAGGGGGGAGCATCTCTACCTTGTTACGTACAAATTGCCGTATGCATTAATAGCTGAAAAATCGGCGCTCGTGCTCGTTACGATAGCCCGCGATACCTTTTACCGAACCCTCGCCATCTTCCCAGTGAATAATTACTGTGAAATTTTCCCTACACCCACTAAATCGCATATGCACCGCGTTGCTCGGTCTTAACGATGAAAAACGACTACCCATGCCCCGCTGAAATGCATCCCTTGTAGAAATAAAAAATAAAAAGGAAGGTTCGAGTCCATGCAACGAGAAAGGCGAGTATCCGTCAGGGTGGAGGGATTCACCGCGTCCAGAGGCACAGCTTCGATCCACCCGCAAAGAAACTCACGACTCTATTACCGTGAGAAGGGAGGAGCTTACGAGTCTCTTCGGGAGAATTTATTCGGCGACATCGCGGCGGTGGGCCGAAGAAATTTCGGGTCTCCTTGAGGCTCAACTGATGGCGGATTCTCGATCGAGTAATGAAAGAGGCGAGCACCGGAGACGAATCCAATTTTCTGCCGCGCCTTTTTACGCGAGCTTATTCTTACGCCCGTCCCACGTTCCTTCCGTCACCCGGCGGCGTTCCCGCTCCCTTTGCCCTCGCCAGAATCTAGCGGAATCGGAGACCACATACCCGGGGAATCTCGGCGAGAATTCCAAATACTTTCTCCGGATCACTCCGGTACCACTCACGCTTGGGGATGTACTCGTGCGAGATGGACGTAATCCGGACCGAGACGACAAGGGCGGCATCAAAATGACGTCGGAGTCGCGTAACTAATATCCCCTTTCGTCGCGTCCTTTTCTCGCCCTCTCTCCCTCCCTTTCGCGGTCTCTGCCGAGGGCAGCTCGGAAAATTGAAGGATCTCGCACTTGGCCGAGACAAATCACCCTCGAGGGCGTGCACTCGAATACAGAGCGCGAATACCGCGTCTCGACGAGCGGAGCCGATCGTTTCCTAATGTTGTCGAGCACGAAAATGAAATTTCGCGAGCGCAACTCTGGCCGGCTACCACGTGAGCGGATTTCGAATGGACTGTGCCGGGTAAACATTAATCGGATGGTCCAAGTAAACGAAATCCGCAATCCGGTGAACGTCGACGGGATTGCAACGAAGGCCGCGCACCGCGATATTGGTTATTGCACGTACGAGACCCGGTTTACCTGCCTTTGTGGTAACGCCAAACGGACGAATGCGTCGCAAAGGAACGTCGGCCTAATGAAAATCGTCGATTTCTAGTTACCGGGTATCGCGGGAATCGGGTTACGAAGCACTTATAACTCCCAGAAAATATAATTACTTAAGCCCCGTGAACTCGTAGTTTGACGCGAGGGGTGTGGGGCACTCAAAGTAATAGTTTCTCGCTCGGCACTTCGACTCGGATCGCGCCGATTTATTGGGACAATTATCTCGGGAAAAAAAGTCCTGTTCGGACGGTGTACGCCCTGGAGGTGAACACGGAGCGGAAGCGCCGAATGTCGCAAGGAACTCCGGGGAAGTAGTCGGCGAATTAATTTCGTCCCGATTCGATACAACGATTGAACTTTGACCCCACGTGCAGCAACAAAACGGGCAAGGTTGGCGCACTTTGACATACAAAAGCGGCGCGTAAAGGACACTCCGACATCTCGCCCACGTGTGCCGAGTACATATAATCGATTACACCTGAACCCTACGAACCAGCGGACACGTGTGCGGAATGGACTACCGGTTGCCACGGTTGGAGCCCGACATTTTAATTTTACTTTTCTATTTTCCCCTCCTCTTCGATACATGCAAAATGAACGTGACACCTACGTTTTCGACGCCTCGCGTCGGACCCCGTTTATAGCGCCTGGCCGTCGTTACAGAGGTCGCTCTTTTCTCCGGTATCTCGAAGATTTAAAGCCACGCCACTGGACGGCAATAATTCACGTTGATTGTCGGCAAACAATAACCAATGATTTGACGAACGTGTCTACGCGAGAGTGCGCGTCCACGCCGTACGTAACGCGAGGCGAATCGCGACTCAATTTGCATTTGCAATTTCAGTTTGACGCGGCCGACGTAATTTACATTTCACACGGCGCGGCCGTGATCCGAAAAAATACCTTCCTCAGGTATTAGGTTCCTACCTCGAGCTCCGTCGCGGAATAACGAAACGTACGAGAGGATTAGGAGAGAATCGAGCCATTGGCGATGCAAACGGAAAGTCGGCACCCCTCATCGATGGGTCAATTAAAAATTCCTCCATCGCCACCCACGGTGAATGCAATAATCGTCGAGAAATGTAAAGGAAGCGAATGAACGGGTAGACAAGAGAGAGGGGACGAAAGAGCTCCTCTGTCAGGATGTCGTACGAGCGCTCGGCAAAGGCCGTAATTAAATTCATATATGAACGTGGGTGTATTAGCAACATGTTCCCGCACGGGATGAACCGAGGGAGGAGTCTGGAAATTTACCGACATTTCCCATAAAAATAATTGTCCTCGGCAGAGGACTCGGCGTCGCGATGCGGAATCAAAACTTTCGCTCTCTTCCGGTTGTCCTAAAAAAAGTGACCATTAAGGCGTTCCGTCCGTTTCATCGCCGAGGCATAAACCATGGGGGGGTTCCCGCCTATTCGAGAGTACAACTTTCCCTTCGCAGGGAGACCAGAATTAGGAAGTAGAAACTTCCCTCTGGGGTGTAACTACGTCGAATGGGATAATTGCGTCATTTGATTATACGCTACGCAACGGGAGATCCTGCCTCCTCTGGCAAGGAACTACTGCAATTTTCCAGCTAACTGGCATCCTACACCTACCCTACAATCCCTACGATATATACGTCGCGTAATCGATTATCGTCGCGGCTGCACCCTATAGTCAATTTCCAAGATACCAAAAGTTCGCCTATATTTGCTCCCGGAAACGTACAATGGAAAAGCAAGGGACGCTCGGAGGCCCTCCTCCATCCCATGTATCGAACGGATCCGATGAGATTCTCATTTTTCGAAAATTTTTTCCCGGATACCATCCTTGGGGTGAACCGAAAGACGCCCTTTAAACGCAAAGCATCGCTCCGCGGCAATGGGAAACCGTTACGGGGATTGAGATCTCGCGTCGAGGGGGTTGTTTCCATTCGCGAGGAACGGTCGGACGGGGCCGATGGCAAAAGGGGGAATTCGAAGCGATTTATTGCAGGAGGTAAGTTCCGGACTATGGCGGTAAACGACGATGATGTGCCACGATTCGAGCCAGTTATTCCTCGTTTTTTCTCTTAAACGGTCTATCGAGAACGGTATAACCTAACGCCATCGATAATAAATTAAGGCTCGTTCTTTCAGTCAAAGGGCGCGGCTCCGAGGGGAGGAGTGACACGCAAACTCGTCGATTGCCCCTCGTTCTTGACAGCGAGCGTCTTGGCTCCCCGATGTGGGGTGTCGTGCAGGAGGAACGAGGATCGGTCGAAGGAATTACGCATGAATCGAGGCGACGATTCACTGAATATTTGGAATCGAATTCGGGGAAACTGGCGAGATAATTCGCAATAATTCTTCGCGGACGTCACCTCCAACGTCGTTGCGCAATCGACTACCTCGTTCGGTTTCAGTCGTGAGTATTCCACCTGCTACGTAACGAAGGCAGAGGATCGGAACGGGGAGTCCTCCGGCAAACGAGACGTAACCAGCGAGATTCACCGAGACACGCCTCCTTTTTTCGGGCTGTCGTCCAGTAACGAGAAAGAAATATGTCCGTTGCCCGACGACCGCTCGTTTCCTCGAGCGAGGGCACTTCCGCTCCAGCGGATTTTCTGGAAAGGAAGAACGCGCCGATTCCCCCGAATCGTCGGAAATTCGTTTACGCACCAGGGCGGCGAGGCATTGACGCACAAAGAAGACGAAAACACGACGCGCGACGTTTCCGCTTCGGCGGGTACCACTTAAAAGATCACAGGGGACGGTAACTCGGTAGAGGTAGCAAGGGAGGGCTACTTCGCGGCCAGGTCCCCCGTGTAATTGGATCGTTAACTAATGGGGATGCAAATAAGCAAGGAGCGCGCAACGAGGCAACAACGGCCCGATACGTCGGCCACTCTCCGCTTCCGCGACCCGGTCGAGTCCACTCGAGTCAGTCCGCCGCGATTTTCCGCCCCCGGTTTCCGGATCTCGGCCGCCTCCGCGGAGCGGCCGCAATCGGGACCAGAGGCGACTCGCCGGAGGGCCGCGCTAGGGTGGCTCCCCGTATTCCCACACAAATCGTTTCATCCACGTCGCGAACGCTCGCTCCTGCGCCGAGTTCCGATTTATTCCCTCGATTACACGGGAAACCTTTTTCGGACTGGGAAAAGAGTGGAAAAACTCATTTTCGAGATTTCCTCCACCGACCCTCCGGGTTTCGCATTCCACGAGCGAAGGCATCGCCCCCTTCGAGTCGAGGCGGCGAAACGTTGCTCTTCGAGTAACGATGCTTCTCGCTATTCTCGCATAGAAAATGGACGTACGTCAGTGCGCGTTCGATGTAAATACCGGGCGCGATGAAAAGAGACTTTCAACCAAATTAAACCGACCTTTTCGATCGATGCAGATTTATCTTAGTGTACTCACGTGTTGCATCGGATAGGCGGCGCTACCGACCAGGAAGTCCCATAGCCAAACGTAGATTCGCTCGCAAATGTGCAGCTTTACTGTCTCCGGGCAATTGGCTGAGCCCCCGATCGCGATGAGTCCTCTTCACGCCGGACAGGAGACCTCAGCTGACGAATCCTCGATGAGCATTTTTGCCCACTATCGGGCCGATAGCCAAGGATTTTCCCCCACTCTTGAAAACTCCGATTCGAGTTTTAGGAACTTTTCTCTAAACCACGGTTGATTCACGGGGCTGTCCACCTATTACTCGATGCTCGCGATTCGTCGTAGGAATCTCGACGATCCCTTCTTCGCGAGATTTCTCCGAATTTTCACCTCGCGTCGATCTCTCTGGGTCCGAGGATCCTCCGATGCCTCGGTCGCCCTTCCTCTCCGCATTCCGATAATCCTGAAAATCGGAGGTCGAAGTGACGAATTTCTCAGGATTTCGGGTAGTTTTTCATTTTTCTCGTCGATCGGAAGAGTTAGGATCGGATGCTGCGTGGTGCTTCCGTGATTTTTTCACTCGCGCGGATGTCTCTTCGGAGAGGTCTTAGGCGACGCGGAGGATAAAAGATCGTTGATATTTTTCTGGAATTTTGTCTGGACCCAGGTGGCCGACGATCCGGACCGTCGTTCGCGCCGGAAGCTCGCGGAGCGCGTCGCGGAAACGACCTGCGCGATAGGCAGTCGAAGCGATACTGAGAGACCTACCCTTAACGCCGCGGAACGTCCCGCGCGCACGTAAAAGAATTTAACCTTGTACGGTAAAGGCCGCGTAACCTTCGACCAATAAATTCTAATTTTAAGCCATTTCGGTGAGGCATCCCATAAACGAACGGATGAGACTCCGCGGTTGATCTATGCGGCTAAAACTATCGATCGTCATTCCGCGGTCGAACGACGACCGCTCTCGAGTTATTTATCGATTAACCCTCTTCGCCACGGATGGGGGATAAATCTGGCTTATTGTCTATCGTCCATGTATTTAATTCATCGACCAATAGAAAACACCGAAAACGGCACCGCCAACTTAAAGAGTTCTGTGACCGAATTCGTATCACTTATTCGATGCTTCCGGAATTATGTTAACGTTGTCTCTTATGTAGTATTACATACGCTGATGTGACTCGACGAAGTGCAGCCATTAAGGACGAATAATCGCTCCCTTGTGTTTATGGAAATTTGAACGAGAAAGCGATATCGGTATGTCGAGGTAAGTTTGCTGTTCAGAAATCGAATTTTCTTTGGTGTACCTGGAGGTCGTAATGCCATCTTCCAAGCGAAGAGTTCACCACGAAATACCGGGAACGCGTGCGCCACGTTTTCCGTCATCGATCTTCGAAGAATTGCTCAACCCGACTCTACAGTCGGTAAGACAGAAATACGCTGAAATTCAGATTTTTACGTACTCGGAGGATAAATGTGCGCGTTACCGTCTCATTAGTAGGTCACTTTTCGCGAGATCACCTTTCCTTGTCAACCTCGAGGCGTCTTCCCGTCACGGTCGAGATGGCAAACGCGAGCCTCCGCTTTTGTTGTGCACATTAAATCAAAACCGCCGGGCGATTGTCGTAGGTCGACCCTGAAATTTAGCATACAATCCAAGGATATCCAGGCGTCGCACCGATAACTCATCTCTCTCCCCGTTTTTTATTCCATCGCAACTGCGCTCTTCTTTAGTTTCCGGCAGAGATCGTTTTCATTTGTATGATTTCTAACGATATTTCTAAGTACGGCCATTCATCAGGTTCGCCGGGATAATTGTTGCTACGCTTATAATTTAAATGGGGTGGATTTCATTTGGTTACCTTTGACCCTGACGTGGAATCAGTACACAGAGAAATTGATTTCGTTTTTTTAGAAAACGTTTTCCCCTTGGTAACATACATACGTATGAAGCTTCGGCGATGGATGTCGCGATGACGATTAAGGTCGTCGCGAGTCGAGAACTTTTTTCTTTGTATAAATCTGTACGTCTTACCGTCGCTTCGTGACGGCCGACAACTAACGATTTCTGACTTGACCGGTGACCTCGGGTTTGACATGGTCTTCCCGAATAAGACTACTTTTTACCTCGAGGTCGTTCTCCCAGGACCCGCAAATTTCGACAAACTGCTCCTTTGTGCCTCTCGTCATCGCGTTTACTTCTCGCCTCTTCTGTATGAATAAAATAATTTTTTTTTCTCTACGTACACTTATCAAGAAATAAAATGGCTTTCGGAAATGAGGCGTCAGCTCGCTTCTTTCGTGGGGAATTCCAATTACTTCTGCCGGGCGGTGCGATTTATTGAACGAAATCGTACACAAACTGTAAGCAGCCGACAAACGCAAACGAAGTGGGAAAAATTCTCCTTTTAATTGGTCGGTGTATATTCCTCTCGCCATTTCTCACGTAATTAAATACAAGACGATGGGTACATTTAAGTACTCCCTTGCATATTCCTCGATCACTCAAGAGATCGTCTTCTCCTGCAGTGGTTCGCCAAATGTGGGTGAATCTCCTTCCGGCAAGGTCAAGCCGTGATTTTGGGTCAGCATTTTTAAATGCCGTAAAGTTTGGACATTCGAAAGATACATCCCAAGAAGGAGACATTTCTGCGACTGGTATTCCAAGTGATTTTTTTTTTTTTATCTGCAATTAACGGGACATCTCGCTCGCACTCCAGATTAGGCAGGAGGGTATAGGGTATACAATTATTAAGGTGTTTCCAGCTGGGTAACGATTCCAAGACTTGAGAATACGCCTAAGCAACTTTAATCGGCTGTAACTAATTTTATTGCTTCTTGTCAACTAATGGTACTAGATAATTGCGCCTCCTATACTAGTCTACCGTGATTGTGTGCTAATGGATAGCTCTGGAATACCTGGATTTCTTCTCACTTAACCCAGTTCCCGTGGACTTATAGCTCTGCCCCTGTTAAAACACGAGACCAAAAATTCTGATTCGAGCCAGGGAATAAATATATCTATCCATCGAAGTAAAAATAAGAATTAACCTTGTCGATTGCGTATATCATTTCGCTCACCGTTTGTATTTGCCGCACGTAAATAATTTCACTGACACGAATTTCGAGTTTCGTTTGCTACAAAATTGAGGGGTAATGAGTTTCGGGCTTAACGCTATCCCTACCGTTGGGATGCTTCTGAGTATTTTTAAGAGTAATCTCTGATCCCAATCTGCGCGATGCGCGTTGCATCCCGATTCAGCTCCCGACTGACACTTTCCACTTTAAGGCCAGCGAGCGACAAATGACTCCGATTTTCATTTCGTCGTGTAGTTCACACTTGTCAAGATTTTAAGGCATCTTCGATATTCTCCGTTCAAGTCCCAATACCGGGGAGGAGCTGTAAATTTTACATCTGCCCAATTTGTTCGGTAGCCGTGACCGAATTGCTACACGACGAGCCGTCCTCGCGCGGCAGAAAGGGACGAAGCTGATTTTATTTTTCATTTCTTTCCGCTTCGATCCTTTAGGTCAGGATGGCGATGTCTCACGAACGCATCTCGATAACCATAAATCGAGAACAATAAATCCGGGTAATCTCCGGAGTCGATAACGAGTCGTGTCACTTAGATCGTAAGTGACGCTTCAAACTCCGGACCGCATCCCGGAGCAGTTTGTTAATGCAGACACTCGCGCGAGATTTATCGTTGCGACCACGTACAATTTCCTAAATATCATCGCGATCTTGGGGACAGAAAAACGGTTAATGAAAAAGAGGTCAAGAGTATGCATATATAAAGGAGTCATTTATTCCAGTTGTCATAGTGCACCCCTAACGAAGCTCGATGACGTTGGGTTGGTTTTTGCGCCAGATGAAGTTACCTCAGGGCAATGATTGGACTTCACGGGTACCCGATAAATCTTGGGTTTACGAGTGCGTTTTGGATTGGGCAATATTGCCAAAAAACCGTTTTCAGGGTCTCTTCGAATAAGGATCGTTGGAAAAACTTGAGTTTTTCTTCTAACGACCGAGATGCAGCTGCGCGACATCATCGATTCGTACCTGCAATTGCACACCTGTGAATACACGAGCGGCTGGGGTGACGAGTGAAATTCCTACGTTACGTCGCACAGTTGTCCGAATAAACTTGAAAAGGACTTAAGCGATCCCTCCGCAAGGTTGAAAGAAATACGTATTTAAGTCTGAAATCTTCGAGACTTCGAACGATCAAAGTTTCATAGAAGAGAAAGGTTGTTATCATAATTACCGAATCATTTTTGCAAATTGATCGAGCAGCAGGCTGAGAACTAACCTGATTTCTAAGAGTAGAAGAAGACGTTCCCCTTGTGCAGCGGCTGCATCGAAATGCAGGTCATCGGCGCAAGGGAAAACCGCAGGATGTACGTCGTGAGAGAATCGGGCCACTTCCTCTCTACGATTGTATTCGATCGGTGAGGAAGAATTCACGAGTTTGCATTTTCTCCTCGAGTAAGTGCGAGGTATTTCGAGATCTACCTGCATCTCTTTTTTTACCGGGATCAACATTTTATTACGGCGTTCTCTTCGCTCGAGTCCCAAATAATTTGTGACTTTATGAGTACGCTGGGTGAAGCTGAGGTCGCCGTGGTATTTTTTCAATTAACTTTTTTTTCATCAAAAAGGACCTCCGTCGAGAATATCTTCTTTCGTTCACAGGTTGCTTGGACCTCGAAGAAGCGACCAAGGACAAGCTCGGTGTACATCCGAACCGACAAGATGGAATCTTCGACGAAGGTATCCCAATGTGTTCTTTCATGAATTATGCTCAACCCGATAACCACTAAAGACGACTTATTGACCCTCGCGGGTATATATTCTTTTCAGGACGAAAGCCCGGGACGTACTCCTGTAAGATCTTCTTTGCAAGACTTCATTCTCAATAATAAAATGCCTTCTCATTTTGTGCTTGAAATTTTTAACCAAACCTTACGAGGCCATTTGCGAAAATCGAATGAACCACATATCGCGTGCCTACTTGTCGGCCACGTCGATCATCGTAAATGGTAATTAACACCTGTACTTTCGCGATGCAACAATACCCGACGACGGTCGTCGCGTTAAATGACAGCGACGATCGACAAGTCGAAGCCGTCTTTCCACTATTCCTTCCTGGTGAGAAGTTCCGGTCGGATCGAACCGTTTCTTTTCCTGGTGGGACATATATCCCGGTGTCCGTTTCCAGATCTGGATCCTCGCCACCCGGGAAGTCGAAGCCAGGTGAGAAGGTCCATTTTTCACGTAACGGTCCATTCAGCCTCCGGCTCGAATCGAATAGATTTTCTCGCCAAGAAATTATCCCGGACGGAAGTCGTTCCTCTATCTCCCATAAAGCGCGAGAGAAATCATTCGATATCTTCTCTAGGCCACGAGGTTTAAATTGCATTTCTGACTACTGGCTGGCAGTGGCTCCTCGCGTCGGCGGGTTCGACGACTCGGAATATTAATAAATTGTTATGCAAAGGGGGTTAGGTAATGGCAAAAGACACCCGACGGTCGCGGTTGCTTCACCACGCTATTATTCTCGCATTAATGACTCCGTTAACTCGAATGCTTTCGACAGGAAGCGGCATCGATAGGAAGCGAACGAGCCCGGACCCGCTCGCACCCTCCCGTACCCGCCCATACCTACTAGTACAATCAGGTACCACTAAAAAATATCCATTTTCGAAAAAGATGGGGCTAGCACAAAAACAATTTTTTTTTAAATCTGTTAATCAACTATTGAAGTTAGGATAATTGTTTCAACGGTACATCACGATACACAGTGAGTACAATTTTGGTAGAAAAAAAATGTTTCATTTTCGGAAAAGTCGGGAGCAACTTTACGGACACGAAGTCATCGCTCCTCGCGCGCGGCCGCCGAAGTATGGAGAAGCGCCGAAGAAAGAGCGTCGCAAGAGAGATGGCGACTTGCCACGGTGAGGTGTCTACATATAGAGGGTCGTGCGCCACGCGATCCGATTCAGTCTCGTCCGGACCACGCAACGATAAAAACTTCGACCCTGCGTCCCGGTGCTTCGCAACTTCTCGAGCGGATCGCGTCGCGAAATCGGGAGTTCCTCTGCGAAAGCTCGTAAAAGAAGGGATTCGTGAGTCGATAGGGATGGCACGACCCTAGGAGAGGTAGGGCACGGGGCGAAAAGAAAGGAGGACCGGAAGGTAAGCTTAAATCGTACCGAGAGGGTACGGGAATCGTTTGGCGATGAAAACTACGTCCAAGATTTTTTCATTCCTCTTGACTCAGCTAAAACCGGCCGTTTTGTGAGAGGGGAACTATTTTTAAACGCGTTCCTCTGTACACTTTTACAAGTAATCGTTTCCAGTTGGTGCACGTAATCAACGTGTAGGACGACGTACCGCTTAAATGTAATCCATAAATATATCGCTGAACGTCGAAACAACGGTCACTCGTTTCTAAGTTTACGAATACGCTAAATGTTTACGATCGCGAAATCGGATCGATATCAGTGACACGCATTGAATCTACCTTCTTGACGTGGCCATTGTTTCGATTTGCGTGTCGTATAACGATGTAATACTGACAGAGTACAGCATAATTATACCAACGAAACATCGGTGTCGATGAAAATGACATATTGTGTGCCGTGATATTTAACGAAACCTGCGTTAAAATAGAATCATCTGTTTCTGAGGAAATTTTGTTTGCCTTTTATCGCGATGTTTTATCATATCGTAATGCAATTACTCGATTCCAACTCGGGCTCACAAAATTCCACTGTTGTCAAATATTTGTGATATCTGATGTGACGATGATAATGACATCTCGGCAATAAATTATCAATATTACTAAACTGATTTCAATCTAAATGTGTGCTAACCGATTAATTGATTGAACGTGTCTTATGTCATCTAGAAAGATACTTGCTCGGTGATTAATCAGTTTCCGCGTTATATTAACTTACAAAATGTTACGTTGACATATTTCACGCTCTTTTGGTACTAAATACGAATGAATCCATTTTTACAGATTATACAGAATATCGTCGCGATTCGGAACGGAACCGAAATGGAGCAAGCTGGCATTTCAATAATTACTCCACCAGGGATTATTGAAAATTCGCTGACGACGAAGCCAAAAAACACAACCATCAAGATTTCAGCGGGCAACAAATTCCAAAATGCAAAGAAAAAATTTAAATCCTCCTGTGAGTAATATTTAATTATTGGACGGTAATTGTAACAGTGGAAAAGAAAATAGCAATCAATTTTACCTTTACCGAATAATATCGAAATAACTGCCGTTGAATTTTTGCAAATGTTTGCAAAGCTTATGATTACCTTAAAAAAAAAAGTGCAAAATTGAAAGAGACAAGCGAGCATGCGATCATGTGCATCTCCAATTAAGGACGTACAAGGCAACGAGCATCACGAGAAATCCCGCTAATGAAATTAGAACGTAATTAAGGGACATATGCCATTAAGGTGGCGTTACATGTACCCCGAGTGGTTGTTTCAATCTACCGGTAAGTCAGGAGCCGATCGGAAATTAATCCTTACATCATTGCTCTAACTCATCGAACTTTCACGCCTTAAACGTTACCCTTTGAAACCCACCAACGTCACTCGCTAAACGCATCTTCTCTGAATAGACACCCCGGAAATGAATTAGCAAGTCCTCGTAACATTCGAATATCGTAATTATTATAATTCGATAATTTACGGTCGATTTTTTATTGCACGCTCAACTTATCATCAATCGTAGGTGAAAGTCCAACATGTTGAATCCGTGGCGAAGCACCAATAAGCTTCACGGTTTCCGATAAATTATAATTAACCGAAAGAAACGGCCGCGTAAAATTCAGTAAAACGATACGGTTAAAGAATGTAGAGATTTCCATCGCGAACCACTTCCGAGTAACTAGTTAATGTGTACCTTTCTTCAGTAAGCGCATATCATAACTCATTGGCTACGGATTTATTGCCATGCACTTCAGTGATAGCTTGGGATGAAAGAGATGTCGCATCAGAAAATCACTTGGACGTATTTCGCTTCCAATGAACGCAATTGTGTGTGCGAAGTAGATATCGAATGACCGTCTATAATCGATTATCTGTTCGGGGTGGGAAAGGAAGTTCAATGTTCGAACACCTGCGGAAGAGGTCCGCCGAGATTAGCGAGGGACGTAACAAGGTGATTTTCATCGCGTGGAATGTCCCCGATAGAAAGTAGATCGTGTGCTCGTAACTCACTTACACATTCTAGGGTCACATGGCGTACAGGACCAGCTGAATACTCATCGATCTACCATACAACTGGTCGAGTGCGTACTCGCTGTCTACTCGTTTCAGGTGAACGCTCGGTGCGTGCTCGTTTAAATTGGATGCACTTCCGGTGCGCGGAGAAAAACCGTGTCCATTGTGACGGTCGAGCAGTTTTTCCAAAACTTTCCACTTTTACTTCACGCGTGTCTAGGCTTCCATTTCTCCTCGAGATACCCAACCATGCCATTTCGCTCTCGCGTGGAGATCGTTACCCGTGAACGTAACGCGTCTTGAGTTTACCACGGTTTCGCAAATTCAGAATTTACACTTTACTTGATTTTCAAATTCCTCGGAAACAATGTTGTCGAGGGTCTTTCAATATTAAGACTGTTACTTCTTTCCCAGAAACGGAATTTCCAGGTCGCTCCCGGGGACGGAATACCTCTTGAGAATTTCTTGCGAAAATTTAAATTTGAAATTCCGATGGTTTTATTTTCTGCTTACGGAGCACGCAGTTTTTTGTCGAGGAGTCTCATTTGGTAGACGTTTTGCGCGACAATGGTACCAACGTTTTGATAAAGTCATTTATTTTTCGCTACACTACGCGCACCTTCGCTCGACCGCTTTCTCTGATTACTCGCAAACGTGACGAATCGAAAAGAAATAATCTTTCGGCGCTACAGAGCTCTGCACCAGTCGCGGCCATTCACCGCTCCGCGAACTTGACCTACTGTGACACTTGCGTGCGCGTGTACGCGCATTCGAGCCGCACGAAACCCTAAAGTACCGGAAGTATCGCCAAGTGACGTTACCTACTTCGGACCTCCACCAATTTTCCGGGATTTTCGATCTCTCCTCATGGCATAATTCCCGGCATAAAATTGATATTGCACGGTTTATGTAACGTTCGGACGAAGCGCATGTGCAATTAGATAGATAATCGTCGAAAGATTTGACGTTTCCTCCTCCGACGACATCGCGACGGTTGCATAATGCCACGATTAGTTTGGAAAACTACTTTGTGCGCTCGGTGAAGTGCAGTTTACCCATCTTGATATCGAGATATGAAACGTAAGATATTATCGGGCTTGTCGCGCGTACCGTGCGAACGGAGAGGTCTGATCTGGCTCCCAGGCCCAAGGGAGAAATCCGTGGTTAAGACCAAAACTTGTCCGGCGAGATCGTCGCATGTGGTCTCTAGGATGTAATCACGGGATTGCAGTCGCATTTAATCGGACGGTAAATCCTGAGACTTCCTCGAGCTCTGCCCGAGGTCGAGTGAACGAGTTAAAGAAGCCAGGACGCCTTTCCCCGGAACTTTTTCCTTTCTCGTCACGAACCTCGGACGATCGCGTGTAGTTTTCATTCTCGAGGAAGGCGCACCTAGACGCCAGAGGAGACCACGTGCTTCGTCCTTTCCCCGGATTTTTCGCTCCACATATCCTGCTCGGCGAACGCTCTTTCGCTGCATAACCTAGAAATCTGGACTCCCCGAGCCCGCGGTAGCAAAGATGCGTTGCGAGCCTTTAGAAAGTTCGAAGCAGTTCCTTTATCCTTCTGTTTTCGTATTAATTAATTGGCGACTCCTCCTGTACCAGTCGTCGGCAAGGTAGAACGTTGTCGACGGCCGGTATACGAGAAATTGTGGACACGTTTTGGTTCCCGAGGACGAAATTCTGGTAGATGGTATCTCGGTCCTCTCTCCGATCTCGAGTGAAATGGGGGAAGAATCGTCGAGGACTTACCTCTTTGCTTTCTTTTACGTTGTAATATTCCATCGTTTACGATGTTCTTGTACGGAGATACGATGTCGATACGGAATAACTTTCCACCGGTTCTTATAATAGCTGTGACGATTTCTATGAGTCTCGTTGATCTTATTGAAATGCAAGAGAGGAGCAAATATCTTGTTCGTTTCCCACTATGCGTTGCCTTTAATAGCCCCCGTTCTCCAGAAAACTCAATGAAAAAAGACATTTATTTTCCTCCTTAACCTCGATTTCTTTCAAACTTTGTGCTCGCCGTTTTATTCCATGATTCTATGCGATAAATCCCTAAACTTTCACAACGCCTAATTAGGTATAACTTTCATCTCGGCCGCGAGAAGCTTTAATTCACTTTACTTGGCTTCGTTTTTAATTAACCGGAGATACGATCGAGGAAGACGCGTGTGGATGGAAATCGAAACTCGGAGAGCGTCTTTTGATATATTTAACGCTAATATGTAGGAAACGTTAAACTCGTGACTAGTAATCTCAAAGAATCCGCAATTACTTAGGAGACGCGGTACATTTACACCTGCGGGAATGATAAGCCCTTGGCAGATATTGATTTCGCGATTTGTGTCACCTTACGGACGCGTCTTCGTATCAGGTTTGCGGATCTCAAATCGCTTTCGAGAGGATACCCTAGAATCGACTGTATCCCCGAGTACCGCAACTACTGTCCGCTCGAGTAATTAACTTTATCGGTACCGTCCCTGTAATGACCAGCACCTGCCATCGGATATCGCGCTGACGTGCCCCGGAAATCGTAAAACTTTTTCCGATTTATACCGAGAACGGCCATCGGTAAATCTTTGACTAAGAGACTAAAAGAGCCAATCGATCTCGCGTCGGAGCGCAAAGTGGAGTAAGGTCTACTCTTGAAGCATTTAAGGGATGCTCGAGGTACGGTAACCCCGACTTGTTGGCAAGAACGATATCGTCCCTTTGCGAGGCAAGGTTCTCGGAACTATTTCAGTGGTGCAAGTACGAGCTTACGCGAAAGTACATCAGAGTGTGGTTGTACCTTAAGAACACGAGCGGTGCGGTGACCCACCGACCCCACCTTGCAAGAAGCGTTGCTCGTGGAGTAACGTATTAATAGAGTAAGCTCGGTCGGGGTGTGGAAAAATCAATTTCCTCCACGCAGCGTGCATCGCCCGATTAGGTAATGACGTGTGGCAACGCCTCCCGGAATTTAACGTTATTGGAACGTTGACCGTCGGCTCGACGGATAGAAAAAATTAAATGATTATAAATCGAAGCATTAATCCGACCCTGATCCGTCGATCGAAATAACTTTAAAACGATTCGACGGAATAAAATGGTTAACGGTGCCCGCGTCCTAAAATAAAAATCGACCCTGACCTCCGCAACCTTGTCACTACCTACACTTTCGATCACCTTCGTTCGCCCGCCAAAGCCGTTCGTTTGAATCGGCTCTAACGTACCGATATAGCATAAACGATGGCAGATTTCCGCTAGCTTTTCCATTTTGTGATAGGGTTATCGTTCTTGACCGAACGCCATTGGACGCTGAATACTCCACTCTGTACAAGTTTCAGTTCGCAGCTAATTTCGCTGGGTTTCGCTTTAACAAATGAAGCGTCGATCGATTGAAATGTTTGCACGCGTAAAATCGTTGCGAATGAAAAAGCCCTTTTTTTCCTGAAATTTCTTCGAAGACCGAGTTTGAGCTCGAGTGACGGTTTTCCCTTCGTTACGTGACGTTCATATAATTTAATCCATAATGCCGTTTTTGCGACGATATAACGAATGTGAGTTACTTAACGTAGTCGTCAATACGTTACGCAATGACAGGTATTTATTGCATCGTCTAAGAAAATTCTCGTGCCGAGGAAGGTCTGGGCGAGGCCCCAGAAGTTCTCTCATTTTCTCCGTCAGTCCCTTGATTGTCTTTCCCCTGAACTCGATAACGAGAGAATCCCGGAGACAACGCTTCGATGACGGACCGGGCGCGACAGAGGAACTTGGAGCAATATCCTGCCGACAATGGAGGCGGTCGGGATTATGAGACCGAAGACAACGACCCCGACAGTCGCTAACGATGTACAGGTCGTTCCAGGGATCGGCCGATGTCGATATCGATGCAAGCTCCGATACAGGCGCCGCCCGAAAGGCCACCCTCCGTTGATCCCATGGTCGAAGGGTTGGCGGGTGCCCGGTATAATGCGGTGTCGGGATTGTTTAGGAGTCCTGATTTGTAGTCGTAACTCGATTCGCGGGGTTGATTATCGGTATTTAATGCACCTGATGGGGGGAAACGTGGAGATACCAACTAAACTACAGCGTAGACCGGCGTTCCTGCAGCTCGGAATTGGAAATATTAAATAAGAGATATTTTCTTTCCAGATTCTTTCGGTGCCGTGATTTTTTTAGTTTCTCACGTACATATCTTTCACTTCCAGGGCTAAGCGGTTTATTCAAAGTGGACCATTCCGCGAAGGAAATTGCCAAGATGGCCATCTCGGAAGTTCTCGGCACGGGCACGCTGGTTCTACTTGGCTGCATGTCGTGCATCGGCACATTCGGAACCATACCGACAGGTTTTACCGTTTCCATCGCTTTTGGTTACGCCGTCATGCTGTGCATTCAGGTGAGAGAGCCTACGATTTTTACCGAACGATGTACGTTGATGAGACCGATCGTTTATTCCGTTTTCTTTTTCCAGTGCTTTGGTCACATTAGCGGGGCCCATATTAATCCAGCGGTTACCCTGGGTTCTGTAGTCCTTGGTAATACGTCATTGGTAATCGCATTCATTTATATAATTGCCCAATGCATTGGCGCCGTTGTCGGGTACGGATTGATCATGGTTAGTACACAGAAATTACAGGTTACGTCGCACAGTCGCATTTTGATAATTACCGAATCGTAATAAATTTTTTTTTCCAGACTGTGACCAGCGAAGAATTCATGCTTCCATGGGAGGATGTAAACAACCCTCCTAAAAATTCGATTTGCGTAACCCAACTGCACGCCAACGTTACGTTAGGTCAAGGTTTCTTGGTCGAAGTCATGGCCACCTTCCTCCTGATGTGCGTAGCCTGTGCCATTTGGGACAAGAGAAACTCCAGGAATACGGATTCGGTGGCCATTAGATTCGGTTTTTCGGTAGCCGTGCTTTGCATAGCATTCGGTCCGTACACGGGATGCAGCATGAATCCTGCGAGATCACTGGCTCCGGCAATATGGAATAACAAATGGACCCATCACTGGGTCTACTGGATTGGCCCAATTATAGGTTCTTTCTGCGCATCTATTCTTTATCGTTGTCTGTTCGTGGAGAAGGAGGAAGCGAAACCCGTGGAACAACCCTCCGTTGAAGGATTGCCACCTGAAAATGGCAATGTAGAAACGTAAAACTTTTGAGAAGTTTGAAGGGTGCCAGGTAACGCGTGATCAGATTCGAAACGATCGACACGAAGAGGATGGATCGTTGTCTGTTCTTTTTGGTTCTTTATCGGACACTCGTACTTCGGGTCGTGAACCTCCTCGATGGCTTTAGCGAAAAGCGAATGAAGATTGTAAATTTCATCTTCCGATTTGAGAATCGTACCCCGACGGTTTCGTCCCGACTGAAAAGGACCTTTTGACTTTATGGACGCTTCCTACCCCGCGAATCTCTATGTAAGGTGTAATTCTACCCTGTCGAAAAGTGACATGTAAAGCGATGGAGGGATATTCGGTTAGACTGATTGCGAAGATTTGGTACAAAGCTCGTGGGCGTTATTCCAACTACTACCGATGTTCTTCTTTTCCTGAAGTCACCGTGATAATTGCACTCATTAAACATGCGTTCTTGCCATCACAAATGCGGGAGTTATTTGATCGGTAGGACATAATTTTGTAATAGTTTTTAAACGAATCTTTGTAATCCCTTGTCGCTTGAGAAAATCCGCTCGTTCAACCTGTATATACATATAATTTATGCACCGTGTATGTATATAATGATATTGTCTCATAGTGAAAGCTTGCGAAACAGTTTGCGAACGGATTCTCCTGCATCTTTTCACACATTTTAATTGAAATTAAATGACACAACTCATGCATTCTGTTTCTCAAAATGTTCACAAGCTTCTTCTTAATTTCTTCATCCTTTATAATCGTAATTTTTAAAGAACATGTTGAAATATACTTAATAAGTTTCACAATTATCGGACATGTCTCGTTTTCCTCTTTACCCATGATGACCATTAATACAAATTATGAATCAAAAGCTTACAATCTAAAGTGCCTATGTTCAATTTCATTCCGATGCAGCCAAATTCATGGCATATTTCAGTTTAGTGATAATTTCGTTGTTTCACGTGAAAGCTATGAAGTAAGATATGTGCTAGAATATATGAGGTTATTTTATGTAAAACGAATATTACCATGTAAGGAAAAAAAATCTGTACGTTCTGTATTGAGAATATTTTAATTCCACTAGAAAATAAGATGTTTCAATTGGAAAGATTCAACGCGTGTAAGTTGATACGTCAATGTATTTAAAGTCGACCCTATTTGATAATTTTACAAGAATTTTTTTTCTCTAAGGGGCACAAGATTTGATAAAAGAAGACAATCCTACACAAGATATCGTCTCAATGGCTATATCGGAAATGATTGGTAGTGCCATATTGGTTTTGGTTGGATGCAGTTCATACATCGGTACTTTTGACTTTGAACCATCATCTTTAACCGTATCCGTTGTATTTGGTTTCGCTCATATGCTTTGCATGCAGGTAATAAAAAATTTCTGACACTTTTCCGTGTCAACCTATCGTTATTCATATAAGCTTGTTAAAGTATTAATCATTACTTTTTAACCGATGTAGACGTGAAAGATACATCCTTGTGTTAACAGTGTTTCAGTTATACAAGAGAGTTGCATATTAATCCGGCAATTACTGTGGGTGCCTTAATCTTTGGAAAAATGTCATTAATACTCGCAGGGATTTTCGTAATCGCTCAGTGCATCGGATCTATCATTGGTTACGGACTATTAAAGGTCAGTTCCTTGGAACGTGGTACCTAAAGTTTGTCGTATTTCGCAAACAAAATGAACCAGAAGATCACAACAATTTCCACTACATTCGAACGAATTCTAATTGCGATCAAAATTCCAAAATATATTCCAGTTAAATCTCTGTTTCACTAAATATAAAATTGACAGGTCATAGTTCAGACACGCTATATGCGCCCCAAGCCAAGTTACACCATGCCCGTCGACCTGATATGCGTTACTCAACTGAACGACAACATTTCGGTAGGTGAAGGTTTTTTGGTGGAAATCCTGGCCACCTTCCTTCTGACGAGCGTCGCCTGCGGCATCTGGGATAAGAAAAATTCTGAAAATACGGACTCCGTACCTATCAGATTTGGCTTCTCGGTGATTGCGCTTTGCTTAGCCTTTGAGCCTTACACGGGATGTGGAATAAACCCCGCAAGGTCTTTAGCACCGGCGATATGGAACAATAAGTGGAGCTATCACTGGATCTACTGGCTCGGACCACTCGTTGGGGCTTCCTGTGCAGCCACTCTGTATCGCTATTGTCTTGCACAAGAAGAAATGCCCATGGAGAGCATTGCCGAGGAAACGACTCCAGAAACCAATCAAGACTTATACACGGAAAATGTGGAAAACGCGTGAAAAGATGAGTATGTCACATCTGATGATTCTGATGGTTGCTCCCAATTGGATCGACAAATTACCGATTCCTTTTCTTGGCGCGTGGTATCATGCAATCAGTTTTGGATTGCGGAAGAGACAAAAGGTAAAAGCCGCGCAACAAATTAAGCTGTTACCTTCAAAAATTGGCGACAAAACGAAAGCTTCAAGTTCAGAGATACGTCGAAAAGCATTACCTAATAGACACTCGTTCCGACTGGGTCGACGGAATATCAATTGAATTTCTCAATGTCGGATGAGTACCGAATACATATTGGAAGCGCTTGTAACACGTGTTTATTTAAGCAGATCTACGAGTTTAAAAATGTCCCCTGTTCCGGCCTGGTTTAGTTTCAATTGAGCAATAAAGTGTTTTATCGGATTTGGCGTATCATACAAAATGTACATTCATCCGAATAAAGTCCCGCTATCGAACTCGTCGCAGTAGCGTCTATTTTTGGGAGGGTTCCGCCTGCATCTGCATCGCCATGGTATTACGCTTATCGAGTATATCTTCGAACGCAATAATCCGAGCAATTTGGCGAACCCGATATCTCTTACGTAGTTGCAAACCGTTCGGATTACGGAGGTCTCCCTGTATTAATTTATTACCCGATTAGTGCCAAATGAGCCCTACGTTAACTCGGTGCACATATATAATTCCTGTTATAAATAGCAACGCGTTCTCGTCTCGTGAGGGTATTCAACTCAATACTGCGAAGTTAGCCAGGTGGACGCAACCAGTTCCCTCCGACTGGAGGACTCCCCTCTCCTTTTTACAGGCTGCCGGCTCTTCGCCAATGGAGAAGGGGCGACTCGCAGACTCTGGTCTCTCAGTGTAAGCCCACGTGATTCCCGATAAAAAACGCGGGATTCACGTACGATCGAATCAACAGTAGCGATCAACGGTGAAGTATTCCTTGATTATCAGCGGAGCGGTGCCTACCAAGACGCCTACCAGGCCTCACTCCTTCGAACAAGTCCCGCTGGTCCAACTTACCCCGCCATGTCGGCGAATGATCTGAGATTCGGTGAGTCAGTCTTCCCTGCTGCAGTGTTCACTGGAAAGTGATTAAGCGCCTTCCAAAAGCCCGCCACGCGATATACTCTGAAGAGCGATTTTTTTTTCCACGTTCGATACAAAGAATTCCGTACTCCAAAATTGGTCCATCCGTCAGAGTACGACGCAGACCTTGAGTATCGGTGCACCCCGATGCATGAAGTGCACCATGGACGATTTTTGCATTAATGCTCTTTTTATGTCGATATTATCGAGTCGCTGCTTAACGCGAGAATATTGCAGCTTGGGGTTTCTCAGTTAATCTCTAGGGCTTAGTCAGTACGATAAATCGTAGACGCTCTATAATTTCGATTTCCATTATTCGCTCGCACACCGTTGCCATTAAAACCTTTTACGCATATTTTAGTAAAAAATGGTTATGATTCAAGTTTAAAGTAAATCTTGCACAAGAATGCAGATTGATGCAAATCTTGCTACTCGGGCGTTATGCTTCCCACTTGAAGACGCCGTAGAAGTGTATAGTGTCTTTATGAATTGCCGGTTTCTTTAGTGAATGTGAGTTTTGTATGTAGAGGCCGTTATTTTATTAACAACCGTACGTGGAAACTGACTTTCGACCTAGCACGGGGTACTTTGGATTCGCAACTGACTCTGCGAGGCTAGTAACGAGTTACTTCCATGGAACGCAGGAATCTTCTACCTTGAACAACCATTATTTTGTCGATATTAGTTGAAACGATGAGCTCGACGAAGATGAGTCCAGATTTATTGTCTATCTAATTATGTTCAGCTTTTCCAATACCAATTGCATCACGGTCGCGGTTCGTGCTTTTGATCATTTTTTGCTCATTAAACATTTTTCCGATCTGTCGAGAAAGCCATAACAATTGCCGCTTCTGACGGCGTAATTCGTCTTCGCAACGGTAAAGAAGAAAAAACAACGAAGAAAAGATTTATTGCAATGTTCAAGTTCCGCGGAAAATAATTAATTGATAATAGTACTGGTCCGGTAGATTTAGCAACTCCAGTCCAAGCATCCTTATTGGCCGTTAACGGCATTTCTGTTTCATTGTAACTATGTTCCGCTATAATAAAACGGAAGAACGAGGATCGGCTGATTTACAGCAAAACTGAAGTTCTTCTATAAATCAATCGTTCTCAAACGCCGCGAGTTATGACTGAAAAATTGCGGCGATGCTCCTCTGTCCATCATTTTTTACCAATGATAAATTACGGACCAACAGTTGGAGCACATGCCCAGAAATTACCTAATGCAGTGCTCTTGCCGACGATTATATCGCTTGCCATTCGTATTTCACTCGCGGCTTGCGCTTTTGATCATCCTTGTCGCTCGTTACACATTCGTTCAATAATCAAAGCGCCAAAGAAGGTATAATAATTATAGAAGCCTGCAGTCGCTCTCGATGGCGTAACACGCTGCAACAATGTCCAATCGTGACAAAGAAGATAAACGGAATGAATTTTCCCAATAATTGAGGCTATCCGAGCGACGATCCTTCGACCGATATCGATTGGAATTATCATGCAAATGCATTGCAAATGTCCGATCGGATCAATGAAAAGCGATGTAGTATTTTCTAAGAACACGGGAAAACGTTCCGCTGCTAGAAGCTCGTCGTTCCGCAAGAAGAGGACGCTGGGAATGGAAAGCGGAAGGTTTTTGCTATTCGGTGGAAACGGTCGAGTCAAAATCGCGTAATCGCGACTTTTTCCTCGCATACCAACGTAAGTACTTTCGTAATTCCATTTACATCGGTCTTCGGTTCTGACCTTTTCGATTATACATTCGTACGATTTCCGACTGTGCGGGGTCCGAACTGTGAGCTGAAAAATCTGCCTAGTATTCTGGCGTTTTGAGAATGAAACCAATGTCAATCGAGGGGCCTTAACCTCGACGGTTACCGGAAGTCGATCGTTACCGTATCGGCGGCTCGAACAAAAGTTACTCCTTTTTATTGTTTTCCTCGACTCCCATAACATACGGAAAAAAATTCAAATGACTACTCTAGAAATAAAAATGACTGAAAAAAAAAATGTATTGTTACTGCACGAGGAAGTTACGGTCAATTTGAAAAATCATTTCTATTGCGCGCGCGACCTTTAATGTTTCCTTGCTGTTTCTTCGCCGTCGAATTTATCCCACGAGACCGAATCCTCCGAAACGGTGGAGCGGGTACTTGGAACATTGTTGCGCGTAATTGTCATTTCGTTCTTAAAGAACGTCAACGTCCTTGATACGAGTCAAGAAACGATCTTTAGAACGCTCATAACAGCGGACAGTTCGTACGATACTTGTCCTACGTTTAAGAGGCAAATTGCAGCGGCTATTCACCGTTTAATTTCACTCTAACGATCTCGAAGCTTGGTAAAATGGAGTAGAAGCTTTTCACTAAAAATTAATAAAATCCCAACTTCATTTTCCTTGCAAATATCCTCTCGTCGCAATTCCGCAAATTTGAAATAAAGTAATATTTTGACGATGTCGCTGCTGGAGAAAAAAAATTCCGCTTGCAATTAATCCTGCGACTTTCACGGTAAACGAGAAGATTCGATACATGACCGTATAAAAAATCAGGGTCGCTTCTTAACGCCGAAGGCTGCATCGGTGGCAGCATAAATCTCCTCAAAACTATACAAGTTCGCCATGTTTCTCTTCTCGGCCATGAATACAATCGCATGCGAGTTTCATTATGTCTCAGTTTCTAATGCTCGGCTATGACGTCTTTGAAACATAATAATTCCATGGCATGCTCGAAGGTTCCGCGAAATAATTAAGACGAGAGAGCCACGTGGAACGCGACCAACCCCGCGAGCGAAAAGAGCCGGCGGAGTCGTCTCTCGACGGCCTACCCCGAGAATCTCTCGATTTTCCCGACAAAACGATGCACTCGGTTCTTGAGCTGCAGTAACCACGTCGAGAAGAACCCCATTCGAGGACTTAATTTCTCGCGGCGTTGATCATTTATGCGAGAGCGCCGGCAGTTAAACGTGACTCGCTCCATGGAGGAGGAGCAGTCCTTCCGTATAACGTTCCAAGGCGGAAGTGCGTTACCTGGAGGCGATCGCCGAGGAATATTTTACTCCTGGATCAGTGGCTCGTTATGTTCGCAGAATTAATTGTTAAAGCGGCGGGGGAAAAACGATTATCGTCCAGGGAGAGGAGGAACGGTGGTAATGGTGATGCGCTCCATATCTGCGTCTTGTCCGATCGAGCCATATCTGCTCAACTAGTCGTTGAATATCGTCCTGTCTCGTGCCACAGTCTCTCTCGGATGTTCGGATATTCCTATCCAATATTTTCTGGAAAGTGCGAACAATCGGTGGTCGCCGGTGAGGAGTAGAACGCGAACGTGGAAGCTGTCGAGAAAGGGACGGCAATGGAGGTCCAGAAGTTGGGGACCGCGGAGCGTAAGAAAATCGACGTTTCTACCTGTTCGCGAAAAACGAGAACACCGATGGATGTAGATCCGATTTCGTTTCTTTTACGATCGGAACGTGCGTCTCGTGCTTGAGATTACGAAGCATACAATGTGCCCGCGAAGAGGCTGCCGTGTGTCGAAAGCCAGTTGGATAATCAACGGAGGCAAACGATCCGCTTTCGGCTTCCAATCGGTGGTGAAGTCCGACATGTGGCACGCAATTGTACGACATGACGTGACATACGAACGCGTTACATTTTTGGAATAGCTCGCGAGTGCCCGTACGCCCGCCCACCCGAAGTCGACGTAGCGACACGACGGTCGATTTCGATGTTCCACCACTACTGACTCCTTCTTTAAATTCATCTCGAGGCCACAGGCGGAATTATCATGGTAGTTGATAAAACGTTTACGAAATATAGATGGTACCGTTTGAGGGCGGACACTGTTTGCCGTGATTGTTGGCGCGCCCAGATAATTCGATTTGATTTATGTCCCCTGACGTCTGTATGACTTCCATAAAAATCAACATGGATTGCATTGTTACATTATAAGCCCTCGTCGTATACCATTTAAATCTCCGGTTTTATCAATTCGAAAAATCAACCGAGTAAAATCCGTTTTGATTGTACGAATCGTTTTCTTCCGTTGTCAAATAAACTTCTCCGCAGGTTACTCGCGAAGGTGTCGCTGGAATTTCAAATTTTATACCAAAATACGCGCACTGGTTGATAAGAAACTAGAAAAAATTATACAATATACCAGGGAAAGTCACCTTTGGAACCGGTTTGCTCCGTCCACATAGACAATCTCCCGTCATTTTGGTGTAAGCGTTTCACTCGTTCGAATGCACCTGGGAAATTAACTATAGCCTTTGAAAGGGTAATTGGCGTCAGTTACCGACGACGTTTAGAAGTGGACGCATTCGTGATCGTTGAAATACGCGTGCTAACGCAATGGCTGGTAACGAGTGCAAGACATATTTTCATTAAATTCCTGGTAAATGAATAGGACTCCGATAATCCGAGGTATTTGTCAATTTTAATTGCTGCTTTGTTCTAGGAGTGAAACGGCTGATAAAGGGCGATGGTGTGAAGATGGAGTTGCTCCTTACGGGGGTAGCAGAACTGATAGGTACTGCCATTCTGATGTTTTTCGGCTGCATGGGGTGTTTAGGATCGTTCGGAGTCGCTCCACCGCATTTCCAAGTCACGGTGACTTTCGGGTTCGTCGTGATAATCATCATACAGGTGACTACTTACGTTAAAACCAATCGTTCCACCTTCCCAATTACCAAGTAAGATGAGAAGAAATTCATTCATGACCGTTCTAGAGAAATCGTAATAGAAGTCGATGAAATAACCGTCATCATAGCGCCACTGGTCGTTCGTATCGGGATTGATAAGATAAGAAACTGACTCCCCACTATAATGTAAATATTGAAAATATCGCGTTAACCTCTGTGTGAACCGACGGAGGCGATCCAAGATTAACTGACCCGTAGTTAGACTCTTGGAATAAACCGTAATGGAAACACGTGGTAATGCGTTCGATTACTGTCGATAACGAGCGTTACATAAGGCAAAATTAAATTACACGGAAAGGTTAAAATCAAAGCTTTACGCACGTCCGATTCTTCTCGAGATGATTTCGATCTATTGGTCGATCGTTTGTAACCGGCATACTAACAAATTGAAGCAATGGACCGAAGCGCAATTAATTACTCAACCGGTGATAATCAAATGACGATTATAATCGTCATAAAGCTTGACAAGCGCCGCGTTCCGATCCGTCCGGTAATCGATAGCACTAGACGTTGAAACTACCGTTTTCCAGTCACAAATCATGGATACGTTGTAAATCCCTTCTGTGAGCACTTTTCTGGATTTATTGACGACATCGAGATACTCTCATTGCGGTTTATCGCATGGATCGCCTTCGGAAGAAATGCTTATTTCGAATTGTCCTGACGTTTGACATTTTTTTCTCCCGTCAATTATACGCAGTAGCCGCTTCGCAAAGTTGCATAATTAAATCTTAATTACCGTAAACTTACAGTGTTTTGGACACATCAGCCACGCACACGTGAATCCTGCCATCACCCTCTGTTCGGTAATCCTTGGGAAGAAATCACTCGTGGAAGCAGGAGTTTATTTCGTCGCTCAAGTTTTGGGCTCCATCCTGGGCTTCGGCTTGCTTAAAGTAAGAAAACATCGGTATAAGCTGTTCAACTTAATTACAGAAAAATGTCCTTCGTCCGTTTCTCCATTGACGTAATGACATTCCAATGGGAGATATTCGATAGAGTCGAAGCTTGCTCATTAGTTCCCGTCCTGCGGTTCAAGGTTCCTGATACGCGGCTGCTCTCGAATTCGTAAAAATCGTGCAAGAAATGTAACAGCCTGTCGACGCAGGAGCTTGCATAAGAGTAGTCAGAGTTTAAGGAAACGTTTTATTCGAACCTTCCGCAGGATTTACGAGCGATGTTCTTTCAGGTCGTCACTCCCAAGGACCACCTACACGGCGGAAATGCAACCGCAGCTGCAAGTTTCTGCGTCACCGACTTGAACGAAAATGTCTCAGCATTTCAAGGATTGGTCCTCGAAGGATTATCCACCGCAACTTTAATACTCCTCGCATGTGCCATATGGGACAAGAGAAACGAGAAGAACATGGATTCCGTCGCGATTAAGTTCGGCCTGGCAGTCACGGGTTTGGGGGCTACAGCGGGTCCTTTCACAGGATGCAGCATGAATCCTGTAAGATCTCTGGCACCAGCTATATGGAATAATCAGTGGTCTCATCATTGGATTTATTGGCTGGGCCCTCTTGGAGGCTCGCTCGTGGCATCTTTAGGATATCGTTCAATATTTGCGGTCAACGACGACGAGGTAGACGAGGAGTTACCAGAGTCGATAGCGTTGAACAGTGTGGACACTCAGAAAATCGAATCGATTAATTAGATTTTCAGAAACGTAAGAAAAATTGAAGGGTAAACGAGAAGCTCGAGCTTAACCGTGCTAAAAATACTTCAAAGCTAACTAATTCTACTACTCCACCTTAAAATGTTCATTGAAGTCCCGATGAAGGAGATAGGGAAAGTTTTTAAGATTGAGCACGATGCGTAAAAGATACCTCAAGCACTCAACCGATAAAGGATCAGCGACGTGTCCGATAGTATATCGGGCATTTACCTTGTGGGTGGAATCCGCCTATCTCGGGTAGATTTTTGAAGCATCTTTCAACATTCCCTATAGTTTACGAGGATACGTAAACGCAATAACGCCTGCTTCGATTGTGACAAATTGTAAAGAGAATTTTCATTCATCGAGGAAAGAACGATTTTAATCCTTTTAATAAGTTTCAACCGTGTGTAAAAGTATCACAATATTTAGGACGATTATTCATTCGTTACACGTGCATAATCGTCACGGTATATGGTTGGACCGTTTGATAAATTATCATATGTTGGCCGTAAGTAACGTTAATTCAACATGAGGAAAATACTCGAACAGCAATAGCGCAAGCAGAATACCTTAAACTTCCAGAACGGAAGCACCACGCCTATTTTATATGATACTTTTTTTGCCTTTGTATCATCGTTCATCTAATCTCTATATATACACGTGACTACATTTAAGAATACCTTAGTACGAAACCATAGATAGAGGAAACTAATCAACGACGCTAGAAGACGTATTCCGTTTAGGAACACCTCAAACAAGTGATACCGATTATTGATTAAGTACTATCGAAACTACTTATACAGAAAATAATTATAATTCGCGAAGCTCTTTAGCTCGACTAAATAACTACATTGCTACCTCTCCATTCAACATCTACCTCCTGTTTCTCTGTAACTGTGTACTTCAGTAACTGTGTACCGCAGTGTGTCACAATAAATTCTTGTTTTTATACTTGAAGTAATTTAATTTCAAAACCCTTAATCTACGTACCGTTGGCCCATGCGTTCGTGCACCCAATAACTACGATCTCGCAATTGAGGCGTACTATTAAAGTTATTCGTTTCACTTTCTCCTGCATAGAAAGAAGTCGAAAAATAAAGGAACGGTCTTGAAATGGAATCTGGAGCCGTTCCAGTAACGCTCGTGGTTCGATTGGAGTGCTCACCTTCGATTAAACGATCCAAGGCAACTTTTTCGAGTCCCCGTTCGCATGAGGACCGATCGTAACTCCAGGTGTTGCGGGTTGCACGTGCACAGGGTGCAGTACGAGTTGTCAGTCGAACAGAGCTCTCGTTTACCAAGGAGGCCGCTCCTGGTGGTAAGACACTTCGTCGATTCAACATTTCCACCGTAGCCATAAAATTCCCGTAATTATTTACCCTACGATATCGATTCGCTGTCAAGTTTAAACATACGAAATGCAATCGGTCACGTGCCCCATTAACGAGATCGCGTCGAAAAAAATCCACGCACAATTGCATTTGGATGCGTTTAGCGCGATCGCCAAGCTTATCCTGTAATCTCTTCGGTGCGGGTAAATGCAGAAATGATGCGGAAATCAAGGGAATCGACAAATCGGATGACCCGTATTATGAAAGGGCTACATAGCACGTATCTCCCTTGATCCATGTGCTATTCTCGCCTCGCTATTACAGTAATACCGAAGTTAGAGAGGAAGCCGGTAATACGTTTGTGTTATCCGCGTATTCTGCATATTGCCCGATACTCAAATATTTGTAGCGCCCATTACATCGAGAGTAGCGTTTCGGCCGATCGAGACGGGGCAATGTACGCATTAGCGCACCTATGTACGGAACTCGTGTATCTACGCGCATACATGCGCGATGCGTTCCCAATAGGTGCGTTAATATAAAAGTAACATCCTCCCTCACGGCCGCTTGGTAATATTCATACGGTTGGGAAGCGATCGGACCGTAGCATTTTGAAACCTCCCGTAATCGATTTCGGAACTTCCCGAATCGCATGGGAAATGCACGAGAGTGCATCCCCGGAAAAAGCGCGTTCTCTCCTGGGCACTATCATTCCGGATTTAAATATTTAATCTTCCATCCTCGTCTTTTGGACGGCGAGTCGTTAAAATCTTGGTCGCGGTTGAATTTATTCTATTATCGGGTATCGCTCCGATCGATTCGAAAAAATTAAATTTTTAAGTGCAGCCAAGAGTGTACTTACAAAAGGAAACCGTGGGAATTAAAAAATTTATTTTCTCGACTCGGGTGATTTGCCCCGAGTCTTTAAATTTTTCTACGCAAAGGTGTCGGATGTCTACGTGCCATATATTTTTATCGCCGGTCACGTTCCCTCTGCAATGAATACACCTATACTTTCGGCATGATTTACATGCCTGGGTTGTTCTTAATAATTCAAGGTTCAATCCGGTCTTAACGTCGACGCCGTTTTTTCGCGACTTTGCCCTCCGACCGCTCGAAGCCCCCTCGTCGTTCTCTTTTTCCGTTCCTGGAGGTTCTTCGCGTATTACGAAGCCGCCTGAAATTGGCCTTGGAGAGCAAGGCTCGTACAAATAAGGGCAAGATTCGCACCTTCGAGAAGATCGGAAAAGTCGTTAACTCGGCAGACGCGACCGCAGACTCGGTCCTCGTAAAACCCCTCGCCCGAAACCGCACGCCCTCCGGCGCGTCCGCCGTTTCCATTTTTCCGGGAAACCTCCGGTTGACCGTGGAGAACAAAAAGCTCGGGCGGATGCACCCCCGGAGGGGACGAAATCCGAAATAATTCGTGTCCCACGTTTACGGCCGGCTCGCAAATGGAATTAGTCGCGCTAATGGAGGGTCCGCTCGCGAGGTGTCGTTCTCGACTTCATGGAAACTCGTCCGAATCCGCCTTAAGCCCATTGACCGAGGCATAATGGAAGCAGGGTCCCCGCAAGCAGGGTTAGCCGACTAGTTCGCAGGGACGAAGTTAGTGGTCCGAGGACCGGTAACGCGGGGTGACCGGTCGGACCTTCGTAATCGAATCGGCGCCCAGGGGGTCGCGGATTCCTCGGACTTCCTGAATCCGAGACGGCGTCGGTTGCGTCGAGCCGATCGGGTCTTCGACATCGGTCCACCCGGGTCCGACCTGGTCCGCCCTCGTTTCGATGCCGTCCGAGGACGTGGGACGCGCTCGAAGGGAGGGCTCGTCCCGCCTCGGCGCGCGCAACGGCCGCCAGTTGGCGCAGTCGCCGCTCGGCGGCGCCACCGAGCGGTCCGGAGCGGCGCGCGTCCCCTCCAGAGCGCGACCGGTGAGTACCCAACCCAGCGCGACCCCACCTAACCCGGCATCCCTCTCGCTCCGCGTTTCGAGCGGAACAATGACGGTCTCTCCCGCCTCCGCGCCCCTCCGCTCCGCGGGCCGCCCTGGAGGGGCGCGGGTGTGCGCGTCCCGAGGACGGCAGTCCTTCCGCGGATCGCGGATGACGTCGCATCGAGCGTCGCGGGTGTGTCGAGCCTTCGCGCCGAGCGGAGCCGAGCGAGGCCGAGTGCAGCCCCGTCGGGACGAGAGGTCCGGAGAACGGCCCCGAGCACCCGGAGCGACCCCCCCAGGTGAGTGCCATCCTGCCGAGATCGGCATCGCGTTTCCTCCTCGGAACGGGCAGCCGCGCGGCGACGGCGGCCGCGAAAACCGGTCCCTCGCCGCCGGCGACCTTCCCCGTCCAACCGCGGAGACTCTGGCGGCCTTCCGCGGTCGCGGTCCGAGGCCACCCGGGCACGTCGCGACGCTGCGAGGAAGAGCGTCGCCCGCGAGGGGCGTGTTTTCTACCGTGACGAACGTTTCTCCGGGAGACGGGGATCCTTCGAGAATTTTCTCGAGAAAATTCGTTATCCACCTGGATCTCTATCGTCGAAACGGGCACGTTTTTCTTAGAAGTCCCGTGAGAACGAAAAACGTGTTTTCCTCGAGTCTCGACTAATTCCGTCGAACCAAAACATTGCCGGACGGTACCGGCGCTTTCAAGGTCTCTTACGCGATCACCGATGTACGGTCGCGACGGGAGAGACGCTCGGATTTTGGCCTCGTCCGACTTCGACAAAGAGAAAACGCCAGGTGCTAAGATATAGGGTGCCGGGACGACGATCGCTTAATTGGACGAATTCGCGAATCTTCTCGAGCACGGAATTCTCTCCGTGCACGAGTATCGCGCACTCGTTCCTACCGCAATTTGTATGCGAGAAAGTTTCGGGTTTATGGTAATGCGCAAATCGGAGGTTTAAAAGTCCAGCGGGGTGTTTTCCGCAGTCATCAAGGCGAGCGGAAAGTGACCGGAGAAAACGTTCCGTGTGCTACTTGAGTTTTACCGTTGCGCCGGAGAAAGGTGCTTTTAAGTTATTATGCGAGGCCCAAATATTCGCGACTCGTAGTTCTCGATTTGACTTTCGCGGCGAGTCTCGTTATTTGAATCGACGACTCCCCGCATGGGAGGCGCGGTCGTTCCGGAAAAGGGACCCGTAACCGGGTTGCCGCAGGTTATCCCACGCGGAAAAAATTATTCTCGTTTGTTGCTACAGGTAAAGTTCTCGTCATGACCGTGAATTTTTTTTTTCCGCGCGAGTCGAGTCTCGAACGCGCAAAATCAAAAAGGGGGCGATATCCGCCGCGAGTCGCGATCCGCGGCCGCGTTTCCGCGCCGGATCCTCCGCGGCTCTCGAGGAAAGGACGAAGAGGGCCGGACGCAAGGAGGAGTCGACGGGGGCAAAAGTTAACGAGACGTTAACCGGTCGTCCAATTAGCCGGGGTCACGGACGCTGCCGCGGAACCTGACACCGGCGACGCGCGTCCCGTCTCTCTCCCTCTCCCGGGGGACGCGTGCCCTCCGTCTCTCTCTCGCTCCCTCCTTCCGGCCGGTCTTCGAGATCGCGTGCCCGGCCCCGAATCTCGCCGACTCCTTTCGCCGGAGGACGAGGTCGGACCCGCGCTAGAGTCGACGACCCGTCGCTCCGAGTGACGCGCCCCGTTGTCCTTGAGAAATAAAAGAGCCAGAAGAGGGCGCCTCCCTCGAGCGACTCGGTCTTGCGCGATTAGACGCGAGTGCTCTCGTTAAGACGACGGCGGAGTCGTACGTGCGGCAGGTGAGCTCAGAACGGGAACGAGAGCGGGCCGGAGGACCCGGACCGCCTCGAGCGATCGATCGATCGTCGAAGGAAACTGGTGAAATTATTTTTTTGCGACCTCGTTGTCGATCGGAGCTGCCCCGAGAAAAAAGTGTCATTGAACCGAAGAAATATTTCATTAATGTCCGGAGCGATCGGTCGACTGGAATAAACTCCAATAAATTGTATCGCGACGGTTCTTCGAAATCGTGGCAATGGAGTTTGATTCAAATAATTATTCTTTGAGTTTGCAAAATATTTCACTGGGACGTTCAAAGAAATATTTCCTTGGTTCAATGGAGAACATATGGTCTTTCGATGCGAAACGGCGTTCCAGCCACATCGAGAGCAAAATTTGGGTCGTTTCCCTGTCACGAGGTTTTTGGGGGATTTTTAAAAGGACGCCCTCGAATGGAGGGCGAATCGGATTCGCTGGGGAGGAAAATAGAAAAGCGGGAGAGAGGGAAAGCGATCGTCGCCGTCATCGGTCGCGGGGGAAAGTGAGACTCGTCAAAGGCTACGTTTCGGGCGATATCGTTGGTCTAGACTGGTCGAACGTCGTTAGAGGTTGGATCGAATTACCGATATTTCCAATCGAGTCTCCATCCGGCGAGATGGGCACCTCGTCTCGATTCTCGAAATTATCGAGGTTTTCGAGACGCCCCGTTCCCCGCCGGGCGTTTTCTCTTCGCTGCTCGTCGATTACCGGAGAACCGACGGAATCGAATTTAGTTCGTAATGACCGTCGCCAATTGGAGCACTTTGAAACGAGGCCGTAGTTACGACGTGCCTAAGTGCTCCGAGCGAGATGAAAGCGATCGATCGGCCCGTCGCCGGTGACCC